AAATCATCTACTAATTTTAGCTTTCTAGTACTAACATTTCAGAGAGCCCAATTGTGAGATAGAGGTACTCACTTCTCTCCTCTCCACAGCCTCAGAACTCCCATGTTGTGACCAATTTGGGGTCTTTTCTAATTAACGGTGTATGGAAGCCAACAGCTCTATTGCCTCCATCTGCCCTACCTGTTACTTTTAACTGTAGGATCAAGGGCAAAAACCCAAAAACTTTGTGCTTAGATAGAACTCAGATTACAAGGGAGCTAAAAGGTGGAGTCCTTGTCCTCAAACACTTCTCTGTACATTAGTATATTTAGATGGAATAAAGAAAAGACCAGCTGAAGCCGGTTTGGCTCAGTGGTAGAGTGTCAGTCTGCGGCTTAAAAGGTCCCTGGTTCGATTCCGGTCAAGGGCATGTACATTGGTTGTGGGCACATCCCCAGTAGGGGGTGTGCAAGAGGCAGCTAGTTGATGTTTCTCTCTCATCAACATTTCTAGCTCTCTATCTCTCTCCCTTCCTTTCTGTAAAAAATCAATAAAAATATATTTTTTTTAAAAAATAAAAAAACAGATAGGGTAGTTTCACCTTCATATCATTCAGGGGTTTCCCTTCCAATCCTTAACTTTGTCTCTTTAAATACAAAGGTGGAAGGGACCCACGATGCTTACCGAATAGCACGGCCTACTGATCTCATACTCTGAAACAAAAAAAAAGCTTGGTTTTGAATGGTGGGCTTACTATATACTAAACAAGTGACCCTCAGAAACAATATTACTAACAACTCATAGAGTTATGAGGATTAAATAAAATCATGTTTTTAAACTACTCGATATATCAATAGTACACAGACACCTGATTGACTAGAATTAATGATATAGTATATTATTATTATTCATGTCATAAGATCAAGAAAAAACGTTAAGCAATTCATATTCATAAAAAGAAAAATTTGCCTATGATAAAGAGGATTCACCTTAAGTTCAGGTTTAAAAATATTTCCTCATAGATTTGATAGAGTAAACTGGAATTGTTCAGATTAAATTTTTATTAAAGTACTAATATGCCGGAGAACATTGCTATCCTGTTCATGTAGTTTGACAATATAACCTTTGTTGAAAAGATGAGGATTATGCAGAAGACAAAATGTTGTCAAAGTGAGCTGATACTGAGCCATCCTAGGTGCCCAGGTAGGTAGGAATAGAACTCCTTCACCAGTGACTTAAATTAGATGGAAGTTTATTTTTATCTCACTTATAGGTGTGGAGATAGCTTGTCCAATGTTGGTATGGACACCCCAGAGTTATCAGGAGCCTATTATCCTTCCAGCACTCTGGTCCACCATTCCCTCGGTGTAAGCCTTGTTTTCATTGTCCAAAATGGCTGCATTCTAAACAATGTGGCCACATTTTCCTTGCTTTCTAAAGAAGTTTCATATTTTCATAAATTTCCTCCTAGGTTTTACTGGCATGATCCTCTTAGCAGCAATGGAGACTGTGAAATATAGTTTTTACTCTGAAATAATAATTTGATTTTCCTACTAAGAAAAAAGAGGGTATTGGAGAAAGAAAGGAAGCTGAATTTCCTAGTTATACTAAATTCATTCTTCTTCTCTCAAATATTCTTTAATCTCTTTCCCTTCCTGGTTCCTCTTTCTCTTGTTTCTCAATGGCCATTCTATGTTTTTCTATAGAGTCTGTCCTTTCAATTTTTCATCTTCTCCAAAGACTTCAATTGCTGAGTTTATGTGAGGAGAAGGCAGGTGGCCCAGTCTAATCCCCTTGTAAACCTGTTTATCACTAATCTGAAACAGACTAATGAAATTATATGAAGAACTGTTATTGGTGAAATTCTCTTAGCAGAATATCCCTCTTTCAGGATTACTGATATTAAATAAAACTAGAATCTGTGGGTTTATGACTCATGACATGTAAAAAATCTCACAAAATCCCTGTAATGATCTGTGTAAAAAACACACTAGTGGCTAAGGAACTTATGCATATATGCTTAGCCCTTCAACACAGACAATAATGTGAAGGCCTAGGGGGCAGGGCAAGTGAGGTATAGAGGGGGTCAATGGAAAAAAAAAAAAAGGTGACATCTATAATACTTTCAACAATAAAGATAGATTTAAAAAGGAAACACAGCCTTAACTGGTTTGGCTCCATGGATAGAGCATCAGTCTGCAGATTGAAAAGTCCCAGGTTTAATTCTCTGCAGGGAACATGCCCAACTTGTGAGCTCGATCCTTAGTAGGGGGCATGCAGGAAGCAGCCAATTGATGTTTCCATCTCATATCAATGTTTCTCTCCCTCTTACTTTCTCTGTCTAAAAAATCAATTTAAAATCTCAAAAACATAATGTTTTTCTTCCCATGTGGAGTGTTCGCCCTCTTGCTTTTCTACACCCTACTTGTCCAGTTCAAGTCCCAGCTCATCCAAAAAGACTCCTCAACCTTTCATGTCTTCACTGACAACAGCAAGAGGTGGCCTTCTGATGCCTCTGAACTCTGAACAAAGAAGCCTGCCATCCATTCCGGACATTCAGCCAAGAATGGCTTCTCTCTCTCTTCTGCTTTCCTAGTGCAGGGAAATTGTTCTCACGAATAAGGTGTGGTATCATAAAGACCCCCAACTAGGCAAGGTAAAGAGCAGGGACAAACATTTTTTAGTTCTCCCCTGAAACCTCATGCTCTCTAAGTCTGTGCTGTGAGTTCCCAGGAGTAAGATGAGCTAAACTTGGCTTGCAAAGGAACCAGGAATGTTTCTGCTAAACTCCTTAAGGGTCTCAAGAGACTGCAGTTGGATAGTCATCTCAAGGATTCTTGGAATGAATCCTTCCTTTTCCAAGATTGATACTCTGCACCCACGAATGCTGTGGTGGAAGAATCCTGGATTGAGCTTCGACAGACTGAAAGGAGCAGAGTGGGGATTGGGGGAAGGGGGGTCCTAATCCTGGCTCACACAGGGTCCTAATTCTGCTAATTCTGGCTTACACAGTGACTGTGTGACCCTGTACATCTCTTACTCATTCTGGGTTTCAGTTCCATCAACCATAAAATGAATAACTTAAATTTCATATTCTCACTTACACTTGAGGAAAGAGAGTTGGATCATTCTTTGTGGATACATTCCAAAATTTATCATAGTTTTCAAGGAACAGAGCTCATATTTATAATTTCCTGGCCATCTCACAAGATTTTTAGTATGCTTTTCCAAAATGAGCATGGAACTTGTTTCATGCGGAGGGCTTGCTGTGGTGACCATCACATTGCCATGCTTTAGTGCCTTGACTTAAGAAATTATTTTTAACTGTGTACTCATTAGACAAAATTTCTAAAAGCTTTGTTGTAAATCTTTCTCTTTTAATTTAGTTAAGGAAATGGTTTCACTTCACAAAATCACATCTTTATCCTTCTACATAAGACAATGTGCCTATCTCTCTGCATAATGAAAGTATGTAGGGAACATAAAGAAAACACAAAAGCAAAAGTGTCAACTTGTTGGGCTTGCCACCAGTTTTTGGAGGAGCCATCAACTGGGCAGGCTACTGTTCTCGGGTCTATGAATCAGCCATCAATCTGAACAAGGCTTGGTATTGTGGGTTCATCTCCCGGTTCTCTTTGCAAACCTTTAAGCTTGTTCAAAGGTTTAACCTGAGCTTATATATATAGCAGGTCCTCAGATTTCCAGTCCTGGCACTCAGATGCTAACAGGTATTAATGGTTTTACCAACTGAAGACTTCTAAGAAGAAATATAAGTCAATTAAATTTCTTTAGGATGAAGAGAAATTCGTAGGCAATATGAACATGAGTTAACACTATTAACACAATTCATCTGATCATGGAATCAGCATTTATTTGGTATTCACTCAAAGAACAATCACACTATAACTAGGAAAAGCATTGGGGGAGGGAGGGCGCAAATTACAGAGACACCATGTTGAATGATTCTATACTTGGATTTTTTATTTCACTTGATTAACTACATAACAATTTCACTTACTGTAAAATCACAATCAGATACAATATCTAGAAATATTATAGGTAAATGAGTTTTTAAAAAAGGTACATTTTAGGCTGAAAAGCCAAAAGACATTTGATTGTCACATCTAAAAAGTTCCTATTTAATATAGCCATTCCTAATGGAAAGGTGAACATATTGACAACAAATGAGATCATTTTATTATTTTTAGTGTAAAAACTAACTTTCCTAATTTAATAATGCAATATATGATTTGATAAAAAGTAAGGTTTGCCTTCCAAGGCATATTGGGTTTAGGCTAGTATTTTAATTAGTTTCCTTTTCCTTTGAGAGTATTCTGATTAAATGGTAGGGTGAATGTGCTGGATGATGAATGGAAAAATAATAAATTTTTAAATGTATTTTCCAGAAAAATAAAATAACTATAAATAAAATAAACAGTTGACTATATTTGAAGGGGGAAATGCACCATATAAGTTTTACTTAAATAGCATTATATTTAAGAAGAAAAGGACAAGTCAATTTTATAGCTATACACCCTCATGAAAACAAAAAACAGATTGAGAAACAAGTACCACAATGCCCAGATTCATGCTGACTAGGGAACAGGCATAGGAAGATGGTCAGCACTTCCATGATCATAAAGATGCTTTTATTCTAAAATCCTGAGCTTGTCTTCTGACTAAAAGGAAATTAATCTACCATTTCCTTTTATACTTCAGCCACCAACTTTCACTGCCTTATTATACCAACTCATTAAGAACATAATGCATATAGCACTGCTGAGAGGTGTAAGGGAACAATTTATACAAAGGATAGTGAAAGGGGAAATGGTGAGGGTTCTAGATACACAAGCCAAGCTTATAAGTTTTTCCATGTCCAGGTACATTACACACAGTTATTAGTCTACTCTTTTTATTAGTTGTGTGGTTGAAAGAGTTTTTCCACATATTATCTCATTAGCTATTCACAACCACCACCACCATATAACCACCCCTACCTCCTCCTCCAACCCCCACTCAGTAGTGATCTTCATTCCCTCCAAGAGGCTTTACCAGGGTCACAGAGGTGACAAAGCCAAGGCTGGATCAGATCCTTTGGTTCAAAAACTCCATATTCCAATATTCACAACACCAAACAAAGGTGACTGGAAAGTGGGACAAGCTCTCAGTGAGCCTCATTGTTAGCTGACCCTCCCCCCACCCACACACACCACCACCACTTGTATGCCCCTTTCTTTCCTAGGTCCCTAGGGCCCTACCACTGAGCTTCATCACCTGTCATTGGATTACATGACTTCATTTGCACTAAGCACATGTGTCAAACACAAGGCCCGCGGGCCAAATCCGTCCCGCCAGGCCTTGCAATGTGGCCTGCACCGCGCTGTCATCACTGCACTCCGCTGCGTTTCCATCACAATGACAGTTTATGACTGTTCAGTAAACCATTCGGCCCGCGATTTAGGCTGGATTTTAGATTTTGGCCCCTTCTCTGATTGAGTTCGACACCCCTACACTAAGGAATGGAAATGTAATGGGTTATGCCTCCAAAAAGTACCTCCATTTTAAAAAGAGCATCAGGGTTTAATCCAAAGAAATAATGTCTATGATGGGATTCAGGCACCAGGGACAAAGACATCTTGCCCTTAAATTGTACCAATAAGGGTGAAAGCTGGTGTGAATGAAAAAAATGGCTGACAGCCACAGTCACGAGGTGTGTGTTTCCTTTCAAACAGTCACAAGCATGGAGACATGAGAAGGACTTAAGGAGAAGTCTAACTGGTCCAAATCAGAATAACTGAGAGGTGGAAGCAGTATTACCCTAAGACCAAGAGAACCTGAACCCCTCCCCTGAGCCCCCCACTCTTTCAGAGATCCTCTGTCTGGACCCCACCCGTTGAGGGAGAGAAGGCCATTGATCCAAGGGGACATACCCATCCTGAGCCTAGCTTTTTCCCTCTTGACTTGCTCCAGGTACCCAGACCTCATAATTCCCCGTTTAAACAGTTTCCAGGGTCTCTGCAGCCTCTTCCCAGGGTCCATCCTTATAATCATGAGCTTCACTACATATGGACCCTAAGCCTGAGGCATGGCCATGGGGCAATATGGGGGAAGAGGGTTTGGATAGAACTTGCCATGTATACTGAGGTATCCATGAGCATGCGTGTAATGCTCCTCACGGAGAGAGTTAGGACCAGGAGTGAGAAGAAAAGGGCTGAAGAAAGAACTGGGAGGATGTCTGTATTCTTACTCCAACCCCACAGGTGTGAAAAGTGAAGTCAAGCCTCAAAAACAATCATAGAAATGGGTTACATCAGTGTCTGATGAGTCACTGAGGTTGTCCAGAGACCCTCACGCTACAAACACATGTACCCCTGTCTAGATGCCCACTCCAGTTCCCTCTGCAACCTCCTTATTCCAGGCTGTCCATGCTCAAATTTTTTCTTGGTTTAATCCCTACTTCTCTGGGGCCATTCAGTGTCATCAACATACACAGGGTTTACCAGTGCCTCTTCCTCTTTGCACAAATCAGACGTTCAGTGACTGTCAGTCACTGGTGATGGTGTCTAATCACACCTGTTTTAGAAAATCTGAGGTTCTTGGACACCATGTTCACATAATCGTCTATTTCCTCTGCCCTCTGCGGCAAACCAAGAGTTTCTGGTGCTGATAATGTGTATCTAAGTACACTGGTCAGTGTCCCCAGAGTCCCGTTTGGACTTCTCAGGGCCCCTTGGGTTATTTGAGCCTGATGCAGTCCACCTCTTCGGTGGCGGGCACCTCCACGGTTTTGATATCAAGGTCAGCGCTGGACTTGCTGCCGTTGGAAGAAGACTTCCAGTGGAGCAGTAGGATCCTCTTGAAGTACTTGATGGTGTTGTTCTTGACCGTCACGAAACACAGGGTGTTGATCATGCTGTTGCTCATGGCGATGCACTCGACGACGTAGAAGGCCGTGAGGTAGTGCTTCTCCTTCACGAACACGGCGGGGAAGAAGTCGCGGACCACGGTGAAGCCGTAGAAGGGCGCCCAGCACAGCACGTAGGCGGTGAGGATGCCCATGAGCACCAGCACCGTCTTCCGGCGGCAGCGCAGCCGCTTCCGGATCTGCTCCGTCTGGAAACCCGGGACGGCCTTGAACCAGAGTTCCCGCGAGATCCTGGCGTAGCACAGCGTCATGACGACCACCGGGCCCACGAACTCCAGGCCGAGGATGAAGAGGAAGTAGGACTTGTAGTAGATCTGCTGGTCCACCGGCCAGATCTGGCCGCAGAAGATCTTCTTCTGGCTCTTGACGACGATGAGAACCGTTTCCGTGGTGAAGTAGGCGGAGGGGATGGCGATGAGGACGGACACGGCCCACACCAGGGCGATCAAGCACGTGGCTGTCTGATACTTCATCCGGGGTCTCAGCGGGTGCACGATGACCAGATACCTAGGACAAGAACACAAACGGGTCAGCCACTGTGCCAGGAAAGTGCCCCATGAGGAGATCTCTGCAACTGAAGCGGGTTTGTGGAGGGAAAACGCAATGGTGTAGGGACGTTCAAGAAAGGCAGGCTTGCCCTGACTGGTTTGGCTCAGTGGATAGAGCGTCGGTCTACAGACTGAAAGGTCCTGGGTTCTATTCCAGTCAAGAGCATGTACCTTAGTTGCAGGCACATCTCCAGTAGGGGGTATGCAGGAGGCAGCTGATTGATATTTCTTCTTTCATTGATGTTTCTGACTCTATATCCCTCTCCATTTTCTCTATTAAAAAATCAATAAAATACATTTTTTTAAAAGGCAGGCTTGAATTCGAACCCCAATTCCAGCCCTTACGAGCTGTTCCAACCTCAAGCAAGTTTTGTTTCATCTCCCTGAATCTCAGTTGCCTTACCTGCAAATGTTTTTGTTTGTTTTTAAGGATGACGTATGCGAATGTATACACAATTCCTGGCATATACTCAATAAATGGAAACTATTACTATTAAATGTAGTAATAATGCCTGCCATCAGTTTCTAGCCTGCCATTATTTCTAATTCCTTCCTGTCTTCAGGATCATTCATTCTAATTAACCCAGAGTTTAAAGCCAAAAGGACCGATAGTTCCAAAGACGTATTGGGAGAACTTGTTCTATGCAGTGGAAGCAGTGGGCAAAGTTTTGTCTTCGTTCCACATTTTTTTTTTTTAATTTAAACATTGTTCTTCATGCAAAGGGGGAGGAATACATGGGATCATCTATTTTACTTTCCAGGTGGAAAAATAGAGGCCAGCTGAGAGATGAGTGGCTTTCTCAAAGTCATTACTGTAGGACCCTTGGTAGAAAACATTTAACCCTATCTGACATGATTGATGAGAAAATCAATTGAGAATATACATGAATGTATCGTTTTTTAACCACAAAGCACAAGATAGTAAAGGATATTGCTTTTGTTCTCTCCCCCAAAAAAGCCACACTGCTGTTACTACACAGGTTCAGGAGCAAAGACAGAGCACTTTCTGAGGGACGTGAGTCATTTGTGCGGTATGAAAGCCTCCTTCCCAGAGTGAGTGCACATACTTATGCAGGAACTTTGATTTCCTGGAAGAGATTCCAGTCTTGCAGGAGATGGAGACTGGAGAAGATAGGAAGTGAAATGGGAGGGAATGTCTAATCAACCTTGGAAATAAACACATTCTCACATGCCTACAGCTTATTCCAGGTAGAGCCAAGAGCAAATGTGATAGGAGTAGGAAAGGAAGCCAAACCAATTCTGTTTTTTGAAACCAATCCCTTTGAGTTCATCTTTCTTGGAATTTCGATTAGAAGAGGTTCATTCTTATTTTTTTCTTCTGATAATAATATTGCTGTTTCTGTTCTACCCTCCACTCCCCAACCCAAGTAGCCAGCTCCATGGGGTGTGTCATTTGGAGAGTTAAGTAGAGTAGGACTCCTGCTGTCTTATAGCCTCCAGATATTAGATTAAGTTGGCTTGGTTGTGTCCACCTCTGAACACCCAGCTGTCTTCTTGACATGCTCCACCACCGGCAACAATTGTTGGCACTCTCGCCAACCCCTTAGTGCCGAAGGGTGAAATGCAGTGTCCGCAGAGTGTTGGCAGTGCTTTTGTCATCCTTCACAAAAGCCATGGCGGTCCTGCTACAATGAGTGCATCAACTTTGCTCTGAATCATAGCAAAAACTAAGAACTTAGTGTTTTTGCTCTCACTAGCTATCTCCCTCTCTATCTACACCACCATATTTCATTGATTACTTTGTCAAAGAATATTTCCATATTCATACATGTGTAGTATATGAATTTTCATTATATAATTTTATGCCTTCTTTTCCCAATAGTAATTTTCTACATCTTTATAATGGTTCAAAGCCAAAGTGTTTTTTCAATGAGAAAGAAGGAGAGAATGCTGGCCTAGGAGTCAGAAGACCAATAATCTAATCTCAGCTTTGCCACAAACTTGTTATGTGAATTTGAGCCATTTTTCTTAGCCCTGTGAGCTCAATTTCCTCTTCTGTAATGTAGGCATATTACCTGTCTCACCAACCTCACAGAGATACTGTAAGATCCAAACAAACACTGTATATAAACAACAACAGGCTATTAATACACAAGAAACTGTTAGTGTCCTAGAATGTATTTTTTTTTTCAGTTATTCTGTATATATAGCAAGTTTCTTTCACCTGTTTTTAGCAAATACTGCATTTGAAAGTTCTCTACTACTTTCTATTTTATTGGATATATCTTACTGATTCTACTTATTTTCATATCAAAACTAACCTTCTGGTAATTTGTTACTACCCATCTGATAGTTTTTTTCATTCTGGCTTTCTCTGACATTACCCTAACTCTATCCCCAGGCTTAGTTCCAGGAACTGAGCAAGAGGCCTTCCAGCCAAAATCGGTTTGGCTCAGTGCTAGAGTGTCGGCCTGAAGACTGAAAGGTCAAGGGCATATACCTTGGTTGCGGGCACATCCCGGGTGGGGGGTGTGCAAGAGGCAGCTGATCGATGATTCTCTCTCATCGATGTTTCTAATTCTCTATCCCTCTCTCTTCATCTCTGAAAAAAAAATCTATAAAATATATTTTAAAAAGAGGCCTTCCAAATACATTTACCAATAAGCAAATTGCAGAAATTGCTTTAAGGATTGCCACTAGCCTTGGCTATGCTAAGATCAAAACTTAGAACTCTACTACTAGTAACACTTGCTTACATTTATAAAGCAGTTTATAAATTATGAAACATTTTCAAATCCACTTTCTCATTAGAGTAAGTAAGAGAAAAAACACCCATTTTACAGAGGAGCACGCTAAGATTTTAGAGAGGCTAAATAACCTGCCTAAGCTACACAGCTAGAAATTGACAGGACCATGATGCCCATCCATATCTTACTCCAAATGCAGTAGGTTCCCAAATACGCTATTTATCCCCACCCTTTCTACCAAAGCAAGCAACAGCTCTTCGTCCTACCCTTCTCCTGGCATCAAATAATCCTCTTTTCTCTCCATAACAGTTGGTTTCTACCTATTTATGTTCCAAGAAGGTGTCAGGCAATTGGCAGCTTATGAGTATGCCCTTGGCTTGCTCTGTGTGCCTACCACTGCAATGGCTCAGGTCTAGATCCATTTCGAGCCAACAAAGAACAAAGGCTGATAGACAAAGAAATGTCCAGGCAGTAATGGGGTGGCGAAAGAGCATTTGGGCTCTCTCACTGTCCCCAGAACCCAGCCCCAGATCAAACCATGGAAGTGGAAGTTGCAGCAGCTACTAGGCCAGTCATGGATGGGCAAGGATTGCATGATTTACCCCTTGGGCCAGCCAGCTCTGACCATTAATCTCACCAGGTAGCACTTGTAGGACCTGGGACTGAGAATGATTATTCATTCCTTAGCTGGCCTCATTCAGACAGAAGAGGAGAGCTGACAATGGCAGGCAGACTGGTCAGTTTCCCTGGATTTGGGGTAAAAGAAAGGAAGGTCCCACAGTGCCCCACATGCTCTGGGATCTGAAGGATACACCTCAAGGACAGTATGGATGTCTCTGCATCAAAGAAGAAACAAAGATCCAGAGGGCCAGGGGTCCTCTGGTGATCTTTTTCAGTTTCCTGCTGCCATCAGATCTGACTCCCTAGATTTTGAGATCTTCTGGAATATGACCTTGTCCTTTTTTATCTTGACTTTCCATATGTTCCTTGCCTCTGCCCTACATCCTCTGCAAGGGACCTCATGCCTCAAGCATTCCCACTTCTAGGCTGTTGTAAAGACTGTTCCTCTTGGAAAACCTCTCCTGTACTTCGTTGATCATCATTTGTTGAAAGCCAGTTAAAAAGTCCCTCTCTTCCATGAAACCTCCTTTAACTACTCAGATACACAATGATCTCACCCTTCTGTAAATTTCATTTAAAATTTATTCTTTATCCTTTTTAAATATATATGTTTTATTGGTTTCTTTACAGAGAGGAAGGGAGAGAGATAGAGACATCGATGAGAGAGAAACATCAATCGGCTGCATCCTGCACACTCCCCATTGGAGATGTGCCCGCAACCAAGGTACATGCCCTTGACCAGAATTGAACCTGGGACCCCTCAGTCCGCAGGCTGATGCTCTATCTACTGAGCCAAACCGGTTAGGGCTATTCTTTATCCTTTAAGTGTTTCATAAGTGTCACCTCATTCCCCACCCACCTCTCCCATTTTAGGTGGTGAGCTCCAGAGAGCAAGGACCATGTCTTACATCTTTTAGAAGCTTTTGCTCTCTGTGAATTATGGGCACCTGTGATTTTAGTGAAACTTCACTCTCAATAGTTCCTGGCACAAAGCAAATAGAAATGTAGTCAACCATAGTAGCAGCCTTCAAAAATATTGTAACCCTATTTGGAAAACAGGACATAAATGTGTTTACCCAGCATGAGACTGGGAGACAGCCTTGGGCTCAATAATGGAAGGTTTCAAGAGCAGGCGAAGGAGTTTGAGGCATATGTTGTAGACAATGGAGTTCTTTGAGGTCTTTAGAGCCAGAGAGAGGAGACATACAACACAGAATATTAATTTGGCTGCAGTCTTGCTTTATACCCTCAGGCCACAGGGGCCTTCTCTTTGTTCTTAGAAACCACCAGGTTTGTTCCTGTTCAGGCCCTTTGCACTTATTATTCCCTTTATCTGGGATGCTTTTCTTTATTTTTATTTTTTCATCAGTCTTCACAAGGCTGGCTTTTTCTTTTCCTCCTCCATCTTTCAGAGGTAGGTTCAAAAGTCTTCTCCTCAGACACACTTTTCCTGACGCTGCACCTGTATCTCCCACCTTCAATCACTCTCAATGGTTTAGTATTTGTTTGCTTTTGTTTAGAGTATTTCCCATGCTCTAAAAATTCCTTTCTTGTTTGTTTGCATGACTGCTAACTCTCTCTATCTCATGGATGTCAGTTCCATGAGGGCAAAGAAAATTTTTTTTCTTATTCATCTTATCCCCAATGCTTAGAATAGTATATGTCACATGCAGTTGTTCTACAAAAATGCATTATTTGAATGAATGAATGTTTAGGGAGGATTATGAGGGGAGTAGGTTGGCAGAAAGCAGAGCCAAGAAACATGGAAGGCCAAGGGGAGACAATGATAGTCCAGCCCTGAGTGAATAGATGGGAGGGAAGGGTAAGAATTGGCAGGATCTGGGAATGAAATGAATGCTGGAGAAAGGAAGAGAGTGGCCAGGACAAAGGAGACTTGCTAGTTTAGATGCCTGGGAAAACCATGGAACCAATGGTTTTATCAAAGTCAAGATAAAAAGAAACAAAGAAGTGCAGGTAGGTAGAAGAGTAACCGTTCTGTTCTGCTATCTCTTGATAGCAGTATTTCTTAGGAACCTAGTATTATTATCTTTGAAATCGCATCATTAAAACAATCTTTTCAATGAAAACAAAGAGGTTAACCAATCAGAAATATTCATTTATCTGTGTGTATTTTTTTAAATATATTTTATTGATTTTTCACAGAGAGGAAGAGAGAGAGAGATAGAGAGTTAGAAACATCGATGAGAGAGAATCATCGATCAGCTGCCTCTTGCACACCTACTAGGGATGTGCCTGCAACCAAGGCACATGCCCTCGACCGGAACCGAACCCGGGACCTTTCAGTCCACAGGCCAAGGCTCTATCCACTGAGCCAAACCGGTTTCGGCTGTGTGTATTTTTTTTGTTGTTGTTATTCCTTTAAGGGTTAATTCAAGAACTATAATATCCACTGTTTATTTAGTGTTTATTTTGTTTTAAACATTGTCCAAATGATTACAAAAATAATTTAATCCTCAAGGTAACCCAATACATTAGGTTTTCTTATTATTCCCATTTTGTACATGAGAAAACTGAGGAAAAATAAGGTCAAATAATTAATAGGGCTAATAGGTGGTACTGCAGGAATTTAAACCCAGGCAGAATAACTGCTAACATTATTTTCCTATAGAAATTTCCTTTTTAAAATGTATTTTTATAACCGTAGGTATGTTGTTATATCAAGATAAAAATTAGTTGTCCAAAATTAAACAAATCAAACCTGAAAATCTACTGATCAAATCCTGAACAACAAATGAGACCAGACTATAATCAATGAAGTCCTAGGATAAATTGAAATTAGATGGTAAAGACACACAAAAATAAAAATGATTTGAAGCAAAGATTACAAACATCAATAAAAGAACTTAATGTACTGGCACAGCTAGTTCGCTGGCCAAGGCCGTTGGATGGCCCTGTGCAGGCATCAATGCTTGTCCTCCAATGTCTGGGTGCAAGTTTCCACTCACGATGCCATCCTGAACAACAGCAGTCTCTATGATGCTGTGCAGGTTCCCCAATTAATTTTTCTTATTGTATTTAAATTGCATTATATAAACTCACACTGCCAGAGAAATGCCTGCAGTTCTTCAGACAAGCAGAGTTTAGTGTGAAAGTGGGATAAGGACTTGTAGGAGTTCAGTAGATCAATATAGACCTCTCCTCTTACATGTTCAAAATAACCCAATTCCCATTAACTTATCCTTGAAGCCACTCCCTACTACAGTGTTACACCTTTCGACAAGTAAAATGGATTTCATGCAGACAGCAGGGTCCCACCCACTGTTAGTGGCTGAGAACACACCTTGTGAAAAGATGTCTAGCTAGAAGGAAACTTCAGAAAATGACCCTGCATGCTCTGTCCTGTTCATGTGCTAAGAGAGGTGGTGATAGCTCCTACTTGTTAAAAAGGTCAAAGGTAAGGTCCCTGGAGCTGTCTTCCATGGCTATGAAGGGGACTTAAGGGGCAGATACCCAGCTTGATTTCTCCCCTCCTGCTGCTTCTGTAGGTCCACTCTATCCCTGGATGGACAATATACTGTGGGGCTCTGTCACTCACGTGGAAGACCTTGGCCAAGGAGAAGTAGCCCTCTGCAGGGTGACCCTCTAAGTACCTTCTATGGGTGCAGACTAAGGGCTCTTTAAGCTGCTAACTCCCTGACATATTCCTTCCCAAGGCTCCACCCCTCAGTGGCTTTAAAGCCTGGTTCCTTCTCAACCCCCTTTCCTCAGGAGTGGTCTCTTTCCAGGTCAGTGTACCCCTCATTGTCCTGCCCATGGCTCCAGAAAGCAGACTCTATTTGCTGTGCTGCTCCCCAGAACATTGTCCCAACTATGAGAGACAGGCTGAACTCCAACAAAGCCCTGAGGCCATGGAACAGGGAGCATATCTGTGCTTCAGGCTTTCTGGGTTAAGGGAGAGAGACAGGCACTTCAGATTCAAGTACACGGAGGCCTGATTTGACCCTCAAGGTAATTGTCTCTACATTGTAACAAGGTATTTTGTAATGAGTGGAGCTTGCAAAGATTGTCCTGAAGGAACCAGAAACCACCCTAGTCATTAGCACAGGTGATTATGCTACATGAAAAGATTAAGCATAACGTCAGAAAGATCTGCACAGGCTGCTCTTACTAATTTTATTTACCTTCAGTAGAAACAGGTCTTCTATGCTGCTGCATGCAAATGTATGAAGAGGGGCAAACTGGCTACTGCAACAACTAAGAGCAAATAAGCATATGTTCTCTTTTAGGTATTTTTGTTTGTTTTTTGTTTTTTAGTTAGTTTGCTTGTTTTTTCAAAACAAATCCCTCAATCTTATTTTAAAATCAGTTGGTGCTGGTGGGGCTGGGTAGTTCATGTTTCAGTAGAAGAAGTCTTAATAAGACAGGAACCTCCGTCAAGATATTTAAGTTGACTCAGGAGTTACTTGTTTAGCATTTAATCTTGTCCCTCTACCCCTACTCTTACCTGTCTCTCTCTAGACCTTGAACAGATAAAACATCTAGGAGTATAACCATAGCAGAGGGATCCATAGCCTTCCCACTACCCAGTCATCAGGGCTCTGCTACCTCCAGCCTGCCCACAGCTAGAAATCTACAACCCTTCTTAGTGTCAGTCAATGAGCTAACTTTTCATAGTACACTTGATCTTAGCAAAAAGGCCAAGAAACCCTGGGGCCAACTTTTGAGCCCTTATATATCCAAATCTATGGTGAATACTGATATTTCTCCTCAATTATAATTGCAACCAGCAATTCCAATACCCCTTCCTTTGTTGTTCCCACTGTCTCCTTACTCACCTGTCTATGGCGATAGCCAGCAAAGCATTGGTGGAAACGTAGAGAGAGACAGTACGCAGGTAGTTGACAGAAGCGCATAGGATGTGGCCATGCTCCCAGGAGAGCTGGCGCACCACATAGTAGTCCATCTCAAAGGGGCAGCAGACAATGGCCACCAGGAAATCAGAGATGGCCAGGTTGGCAATGAGTAGGTTGGTGAGGTTGCGAAGCTTCTTGTAGCGGGCCAGGGCAGCAATGAAGATGAAGTTGCCAATGCCACAGACCAGCATGATGCCCACCAGGGCCATGCCAATGACAATCTTGGCAGCAAAAAACGTCAGAGAATTGGTTATATCCTCATCTTCATCCAAGGGCATATCATAGTCGCCGTAGCTGAAGTTAAATGGGAAGGAAGCAGCCTGGGCTCCGTGGGGGTCAAGCACAGAAGGGAAGCCGGTGGAGATGTTGGTGGCATTCTCATCCATGACTCCCATGGTGGCCAGATGATGCCTTGAGCAACACAGTTGGGAATTCCTCTGGGATGATGCCTGGGAAGCTGTCTTCTCTCTCTGCTTAATGAGTCAGAGTGCTCCTGCCAGTATCTTTGGGGTTCAGCTCCATCCTAAAGCTTTAAAAAGACATACATACAGTTGGCTACATATCTGAGTAAATCCGGCCAAATTTAAAACCATCCTGTAACCTAAGCAGATCCATTAGCCACCTGCTCAGAGTGAACATTGGGTGATGGAGTGGAAATAAAAAAAAAAAATTTTTTGAGAGAAGAGAGAGTATTATCAACCACATATCCACTCATTCAGGGAATATGGGATTGCTATAGAGACAATCAGGCACTGACTCTGTTTATTTCCCTTCCACTAAAGACTCTGAAATGTTACACTTTTTCTCAAGGAGTGTGGGAGGCTGAAGAGAAGGAAAATAACCTGCTCCAAACTCCATTTCCTATCCTGACAGCCTGAACTTTGTCCTTATGGGATTGTTCCATTCTGTTGCTTAAAAGAAGTGATTCTGAGAACAATGGCTTTGTAATACAGCTTGAAATCTGGTATGAGGTTCCACACTTTTTTCTTCTTTCTCAGGATTGCTGCAGCTATTTGAGGTCTTTTTTTTATTCCAGATTAATTTTTGGAGAATTCATTCTAGGTCTGTGAAATATGCCATTGGTATTTTAATGGGGAGTGCATTGAATCTGTAGATTGCTCTGGGAAGTATCGACATTTTAATGATGTTGATTCTACCAATCCATGAACACGGTATGTTCTTTCATCTGTTTATGTCTTTATCTCTTTTTTCAGTGTCCTTTAGCTTTCCTAGTAGAGGTCTTTTACCTCTTTAGTTAAGTTTATTCCTAGGTATCTTAATTTTTTTTGGTGCGATGGTAAATGGGATTTTTTTTAAATCTCTCTTCTTGTACAATAAATTCACTCTTCTTGTATAAACATGCCATAGATTTCTTGGTGTTAATTTTGTATCCTGCTACATTGTCGAATTCATTTATTAAGTCTAATAATTTTTAAGGGTTTTCTATGAACATATGTCATCTGCAAATAATGACAGTTTTATATTTTCTTTTCCAATTTGGATACCTTTTATTTCTTCTTCTTGTCTAATTGCTATGGCTAGCACATTCAGAACTATGCCAAACAGGAGTGATGAAAGTGGAATACAAAGCCACTGTTCTCAAAACTGCCTGGTACTGGCACAAGAACAGACATATAGACCAATGAAATAGAAGAGAGAACCAAGACATCAACCCAAACCACTATGCTCAATTAATATTTGACAAAGGAGGCAATAACATGCACTGGAGTAAAGACAGTCTCTTCAATAAATGGTGTTGGGAAAATTGGACAGATACATGCAAAAAAATGAAACTAGACTACCAACTTATACCATACACAAAAATAAACTCAACATGGATAAAGGTCTTAAACATAGATGGGAAACGATAAAAAATATTAGAAGAATCTGCAGGCAGCAAAGTCTCAGACATATACCAAAGCAATATCTTCACCAATATAGCTCCTAGGACAATGGAAACTAAAGAGAAAATAAACAAATGGGACTACATCAAAATAAAAAGCTTCTATACAGTAAAAGAAACCATCAACAAAACAACAAGAAAGCCCACTGTATGGGAGGACATATTTGCCAATGTTATCACCAGTAAGGGTTTAATCTTCAACATCTACAGGGAACTCATTCAACTTAACAAAAGGAAAATAAACAATCCAATCAACAAATGGACAACAGACCTAAATAGATACTTTTCGAAAGAGGACATAAGGCCAAGAGACATATGAAAACATACTCAAAGTCATTAATCATCCAAGAGATGCAAATCAAAACAACAATGTACCATCTCACACCTGTCAGAATGACTATCATCAACAAATCAACAAATGACAAGTGCTGGCAAGGATGAGGAGAAAAAAAGGAACTCTTGTGCACTGCTGGTGAGAATGCAGACTGGTGCAGCCACTGTGGAGAACAGTATGGGGTTTTCTCAAAAAACTAAAAATGGAACTCCCATTTGACCCAGTGATCACACTTCTAGGAATATATCCCAAGAAATTAGAAACACCAATCAGAAAGAATATATGCACCCCTATGTTCATAGCAGCACAGTTACCATAGCTAAGATTTGGAAACAGCCTAAGTGCCCATCAACAGATGAGTGGATTAAAACACAGTGGTACATCTACACAATGGAATACTACGCTGTGGTAAAAAAAAAAAAAAAAAGAATTCTTACCATTTGCAACAGCATGGATGGAACTGGAGAGCTTTATGCTAAGCGAAATAAGCCAGTCAGAGGAAGATGAATATCACATGATCTCACTCATTTATGGGATATAATGAACAACATAAACTGATGAACAAAAACAGACCTAGAGACAGAGAAACATTGATCAGACAGTCAAACCTCAGAGGGAAGGTAGGGGAGGGGGACAGATCAACCAAAGGACTTGTATGCATGCATATAAGCCTAACCAATGGACACAAACATCAGGATGGTGAGGGCATGAGTGAGGGCACGGGAAGGAGCAACGGGGGTATAAGAACACATGTACTAGAAATACCTTAATCAATAAAGAAAAGAAAAAAAGTGATTCTGAATACAATTGAAGAGGGAGGGCTTTGAGGCAACCCTGTCCTCCATGAGTTGGTCTCTTTCCTTCTGGCAAAACACTGCTCTAACATCACAGCCACCCTCCCCACTCCTCACTGGGCTTGCTGTTCCAACATACAAGTCTGCGGGGACCCTACAAGCCACCCACAGTCTTTGCCAAGACTAGGCCCCAGGCAGAGGCTATAGGGGGAAAGTCACAGCCTAAGCCGTTGAATGACTTAGGAAGGGGGCTCTGGAGCAAAATGCTTTCCTTGTCTGGGTGTGTCCTGAGGTAAACAGAGTTTCAGCATCCTCCAGGCAGGAGATCAATAATGTCTGTAAAGCATGGAGATCGGTGGAGAGGGAGGGTGTCACACCTAGAACTGCAAGGAATGACTATGGGAAGCTCAGGCCTCCCAGTCAGCTGCGAAGAAGGCAAGGGAAATCCTAACCTGGCTGACTCCATCACACCCCATAACAGGGCTGAGATGGGAGATGGAGAGGGGTGGGGCTGTCCTCTGCGCTGCTGGGAACAGAGAACAACAGGAAGTCCCCTTGTCCCCTGCCCTCTCCCCTGGTCTCAGTTCTTCACAGGCTGGAAAACATCAGACCAGGTTGCTGGGGTGTAAAAGGAGGACTGGGGCCTGGGGAGCCCTGGAAATGTCAGGAGAGCCAGAGAAAACCTGAGGAAAACCTATGGAAAACCTGAGGTTCCTGGAAAAGGGAGACCCCAAGGGCCCTCAGGAAAGCCTGCTGCCCACTTTCTCACAGATGAGACATCTGAGCTTGTCTTTGGGGGATCAGGGTTAAACTTCCTCTGTATCCCAATTAAGTTTGGCCCCATTTTTGCCTCTCTCCCCAGCTCCTCACCCCCACTTTTCTGGGGATTTTTTTCCTTCCTCTGAGCCTTTAGTTCTGTCCCTCAGGCCTTGCCCTTTGCCCCTGTCAGTCGCGAGGAGCTGAAAGGCCGGAGGAGACCAGGCTTGTAGCCCAGACAGGTAGGCTGCAATCCAGGTGGGAGTCTCCATACCCCTGGCAGACCCTGTGACCTGGAGGCATGCCCTCTCTGAGGGTAGGGTACCCAGAAGCACGTCAGCCAGAAGGCTCCAAGTCAGGTTTTAAAAACTTCTTGTGGGGCAGGGTGTTCGATTTTAGGATTTGGGGAGAAATTGTCCAGCGGCCTTTAATCCTGAATTCTCATCTCTCCAAGAAGAACCCTATTCCCATCAGGTGTCACCTGGGAACCCTGCCGATGAGCGCCGGCCTCCTGACCGGACCCTTCCTTCCTCCTGCAAACCTGGAAGCCACTCTGCAGCGCCTGATGATCAAACCTGGAAGCCACTTTGCAGCGCCTGCTGATCAGCCCTCACCAGCGCTCAGCATTGTCCTCAGAGATCCGGGGGCTACACCTATGGGCAGGAATGGGTGCCCTGCTCCCCTAAAGAAACGAGCTCCACCGCCCGTCTCCCGAGAAGCCCCCTCCCCACGTCCAGCCTCTGCCCCCGCGGCCGGTGCGGCGCGGGGTCCCTGGGAGCATCTCCCCGGGAGGGCGCGCCCCGTACCTGCGGCATCCCGTCGCCCCGCGGACCGGGTCGGTTTCTTTATTCCGGTCCGAGGACAAAGCCGCTCCTCCCAGAGAAGAACAGGTCCCTCTCCCCTTCCTCCTCTTCTCCCGGCGCTTTTCCCGGCCCCGGCGCGGTGGAGATCAGAGGGAAGGCGGCTCCTCCGCGAGGCCCCCCGGGTCCCGCGCTCGCTGTCCCCGCCCCCGGCTGCCAAGGAGGGGCACCGGCACCAGCGGCTGCTCCGCAAGGCGTGCCCGGGGTTCAGGCTCCAAACGGGGGAGCGGGGGGAGTACCTAGGGGACCCCCGGGCAGCTCCGGGCTGGGACGCGCTGGAGGGGGCCGGGCGTTCCCGGACTCAGTCTCCCAAAAGGCCGCGCCAGGCGGGACCGGGGGCGCCCTTGCGGGGAGCAGGGCTCCGGGGGGACTCTGCGCTGGAGGTGGTGCCCATCAGGCAGGGCTGTGCCCGCCCCAGCGCCCGGGGCTTCAGGGCTGTCTCACCTGGCCAGCCCGCGCCCCGCCGGAGTGGGTGGACACGGCCCGCTTCGCTGGGGAGATTTCAAAGGGCCGAGAGCAGCCTCCGGCCCGGCCCGTCCACCGCCCGCGCGGGACACGCTGGGACCCACCCAGACCTCCTCCGCTTGGGTGCGCCCAGCTGGACACGGACCAGCATCAGTTCAGCCGCTCGGACCTCGGTGTCAGGAAGGCTCAGAGAAGTGCTTTTTCCAAAGCAGCGACGTGGGGGAGGTGGGCAGCGTGGATGCCGGGAGGAGGGAGGTACTCCCCACCCACCGGGATGTCTGTTATGGGGAAGGCTGGGATGGCCAGAGCTAACTTGCAGAGCGCAATCTCTGATTTCTCAGAAGTCTGCAGATTTCTCAAGAAGTTAAATATAGAGCGACTTTCTGATCCAGCAGGTCCACTTCTAAAAACACTGAACGGAGGGACTGGGGTACTTGTAAGCCAATGTTCATAGTAACATTATTTAAAATAGAAAGAAAAAAAAAGAAAGAAAGACAGACAGAAGGAAGGAAGGAAGGAAGGAAGGAAGGAAGGAAGGAAGGAAGGAAGGAAGGAAGGAAGGAAGGAGGGAAGGAAGAACCCAAATGTCCATCAACCAATGAATGGAATTTGATGAATGGAATTTTTTAAATGTGGCATATACTTCTCATCCTCCAGTAAAAAAAAAAAGAATGAAATATAACACGTGTGGATAAGAATGTAGAGAAATGAAGCCCTGTGCACTGTTGGTGGAAACGTGAAATGATACAGCCACTGTGAAAAGCAATATGGCACTCCATCAAAAAGTTAAAAATAGGATCACCATATGATCCAGAAATTTCACTTCTGGATATATATCCACAACAATTGAAAGTAGTGTCTCAAAGAGATACTGGCACATTCATGTTCATAGCAGCATTATTTACAATAGCCAAAGATGGAAGCAACTTGAATGTCCATCGACAGACCAATGGATAAACAAAAGGTAGTGTATACATGCAATGGAATATTATTCTGCCTTGAAAAAGAAAGTCCTGACATATGCTATTAAATTCTGACCCTTGGATGAACCTTGAGGACATTATGCTAAGTGAAATAAGCCAGTCACACAAGACAGCACTGTACACTTTCACTTAAATGAGGTACCTGGAGTAGTCAAAATCATAGGGACAGAAAGTAGAATGTTGGCAGGCAGTGGCTGGAGGGCTAGGGAAGGGAAAGTCACTGTTTAATGGGAACCCAGTTTTCGTTTTGCAAGATGAAAAAAAGTTCTGGAGATGGATGGTGATGATGGTTGCAACAATATGAATGCACTTAATTCACTGATCTGTATACTTAAAAGTGGTCAACAATGTAAATATTATGTGTATTTTATCACAATAAAAATTGTGGTAAAATGTTGGTACATGCTACAATATGGGTAAGTCTTGAAAGCATCATGTGAAGTACAATAAGCCAGACACAAAAGGACAAATATTGTGATGCTGTGTACCAGAAGAGGAGTAATTGGAGTTATTGTTTAATCGACCCAGACTTTCTATTTCAAATAATGAAGTTCTAGGAATGGATAGTGGTAATAGTTGCACAATATTGTGAATGCACTAATATCATTGAATTGTACACTAAAATGGTTAAAAGGAGCTAGACAGTTTAGACCTTCTTACCAAGGCATCTGAGGCCAATCCTAGTCCGGCCTCCAATTGTCCATGTTGGAAAGGGGGCTGCCTGGGATCTGGACCTTCAGTCCACTTTGCCACTGTCAACTGTGTGACTTGGGCACCCTTTCTAATTTACAAAATGAACAAGTTGACTTGCACTAAATCACTGCCAGATTCTAATGCTTCTTGTAGGATCTTCCCCTGGTCCTTCCCTGGACACTTTGCCCTGTCATTTGCACAATATTTCTGTCATTTGCAAAAAAGTCACAGCCTTTATACATCTCTGAGCCTCATGTCTGGTGGGTCATGGAACCTGGTAGTGGTTAAGCGAATGACATATGGAGTTAGCTGCCTCCTCTCAAAAATCAGAAATAAAGCACAGGTGGTTCCAGGATTAGGGTCTATCATGACATTGTAGTCAAACTGTCAGCCAGGGCTACAGTCAAATCTAAAGGCTAAATCAAGAGGAGAATCCACCTCCAAGGTCATTCACAAGGTTGTTGTTAGGTCCCAGTTTTTCACTGGTGCTGCATACGTTAGTCATGTGGGTGTAGTCCTAGGCTGCCTTCTCTCATTGTTTCTATTATAAGCTGTTCACCACACACACACACACAAATAAACAAACAAACAAAACAAAACAAAAAAAACCAAGTGTGTGAATGCCAAGAGGTGGGGATCCTTAGGGACTGATTTGGAGGCCATCTTGGAGGCTGGCTACCATGTATGCAGACCTTAGAATTTCCTTCTCCCCCTTCAAAGATGTGGCAATGAAAGGTACTTTAAAATAATGAAGAAGGTTAGCCACAATGAAGGTTTTTACCTTCTGAGCAGGGAGGCCTTGGATGACTTCTGGAGTTAAAGTCAAGAGGAAATAATTGGGATAAGGCGTTGGCCAGTGGTCAGCATGGGGGAAATGCAATAAATGGACACATAGAGTTTGGCAAGTTCTGTGCATTGCAGATTCTATTGAGCAATGGTTTGAAGGGTGTGGTCCCTGCATGTCATTTTCTGCCAAAAGCTTCACGAGATCCCTTTCATCTGAGAGGCAAACACCCATGAGGGTCCTGTTTGAATAGCTGTTTCTGTGTCAGAGTTAAGCTAGGACTGCCGTGGATTAGAACAACATCTGTAAGTAAAAGAGTTAAAAAAAAAAAAAAAAAAAAAAAGGGAATATACAAAATCAGTAAATCCAATGATGTAATTTTTTTCCCCCAATTTGTGGCCCCACGGACACTAAGAGCCTAGAAATTTTATCCCCTGACTAGAGTCTGCTGCCAGGAGGAACTCACTCACCATCCCAGGATCCTTCATCAAACAAGATCAAGGAACTGCTTTGGAAATCACTGTCTTGGGAGTTGTCTCCTAAACAATGCCCTTGGACTACTGTGGATATTTTTCTTTCCTATCCCACTGTAGGAATCATCCCGAAAGCCCTTTGACTTCTTATATTTTTATCATTTTATTCTTTAATTATGTCCTTTGGTTCAGAGTTGGCAGTTTTTAACAACATGGGGCTTCTTTCAGTCATGTATCTCTTGTGAGGACCGTGGTCGCAAACTGCGGCTCTCAAACCACATGCGGCTCTTTGGCCCCTTGAGTGTGGCTCTTTCATAAAATATCACGGCCTGGGAGAGTCTATTTTGAAGAAGTGGTGTAGAAGAAGTTTAAGTTTAAAAAGTTGGCTCTCAAATGAAATTTCAATCATTGTGCTATTGATATTGGGCTCTGTTGACTAATGAGTTTGCCGACCACTTCTCTAGTATGTACCCCATAGAAACTCAGCTCAAGGAGGCCTCCAAAGTTCATTCAGTGAGCACTCATGTTGAGAAAGGAGCAACCAGATGCTCCAGAGGGAAGGCCCGTAGACCAAGAGAATGGAGAGAGCTGATTTCAGAGCCCAGATTGGAATCCAAGTCTCCTGACTTTCAGCCCAGGCCTCCATCTCTGGCCGGCCATACCCACAATACAGACTGCTACCTGTTCTCAATTTCTGTACACCCTGGCTCCAGAGCCCAGCCACCATTCCTCCTGTCAGGCAAATGTACTCAATCAGGTTAGTTTTTGCTTCTGTCAGATTTGTTCCCTTGGCACATGCTCTCATCCAGTGCCATGAACAAAATCAAGGATTCCTGGAAGATACCCAGAGCTGGCTCAGTTACTCATCCTTTTCCAATTACCTCCCCAGCATCCGAGCCAGCAATGCTCGCCCAGCTTTCCAAAGCCCACTCAGCAGGTGCTCAGACTGCGCTCTGCCAGCCCCCTCCACCACCTCACAGCCCCCTGGAAGAGACGTGAAGGAAGAATTCAGATAGGTCCAGGGACATGCCCTCATTCCTGATGGAAGCCCATACAGTGCAAAGATGGCAATCGTTCATAAATTTCACTGGTTTAATGCCATCCTTTAAAAATTCGTAGTAATTGGCAAAACTAATCCTATGTTTATTAGGAAAAACAATACAAAAATATAGTTTAAAAAAAGGAATAAACAGGTAGCAGCATACAAAAAAAATTTTTTTCAGCAGAGTAATAAGAGGAAATTTGACCTAGTAATATAAAACTATGAAAGTTCAAGAAAAAATCAGATAATGAGTTTGAGAATAAAGTGGGCCCACTGTCTTGGAATGAAGCCTGATAACTCAGGGGACTCACTCATCTGGAATGTTTTACATGGGGGACAGGTATGGAGAGGTGAGGAGAGGAACGGAGCTGACATGATATCTGTCTCAGGTTCTAGCCTTCCTGATTAAGCCCAAAGTAACAGGGCCACAGACACAGGGACTCTGGGAGACGGGAGGATACCAGTAGTGCTGTTTGGGGGCTCCTGGTAGAGTGGGGAAGAAGGGTCTCTCCTTGTTTGGCTCTGATGTAGCGAGGGCCACGTGGGATGCCATATTGGGCTCAGCTGGTCCCTCGCAGGCTTAGTTTATGAAATCCCGAGTGGGTCCTTTCCAGAGGGCACTCTCAGGGAAAGCAGC